TTCAAAAACTTATTAATAGAAGCATATGATGCAAAAGTATTGTTTGACTCTGCTTATGTGGAACTCAAGAAAAATCAAACTTGATCTGTAACACCAAAAAGTTCCACTGGTAGTCACCAGGAAATAGAGGGGAGGCTAGGTGAAAAGGGTAGATAGAAGGGCACCTTTCTGATATGTAATGTTCTGAATCTTGATGCCCCCCCTTGCTGGTTTCCATGGGGACTTGCGCCCATGAGGTGCACACACACACACACAAATAAATAAGTAGATAGATAGATAGATAGATAGATAGATAGATAGATAGATAGATAGATAGATAGATAGATAGATAGATAGATAGATAGATAGATAGATAGATAGATAGATAGATAGATAGATAGATAGATAGAGGAATTGACTGTTTTGTTGGGGTCCTAGAGGTGAAATCTGGGGCATCAGACACCCCAGGAAAATGCCCTGCTTCTGAGCTGCAGCCCAGCCCTATATTGAAGGTTCTTTTGATAAATGCCCTTACAATCATAAGTCTTAGAAACCAGACCTGGATGCACCTCGGAGCAGGGGAGTGGAGGTGGAATGTTGTCATCACATTATGTCACCACATTATGTCACCACAGGACATATGAGGAAGAGACCAGCGAGAATGAGGCAGTAGCTGAAGAGGAGGAAGAGAGAGAAGAGGGGGAGGAAGATGTCTTCACTGAAAAGGTCTCCCCAGAGGCAGAAGAGTACCCAGCATTACTGCTAAAAAGAACCAGCCTGGGGAGATAATATTTCATCCCAATGTCTGGGCCATCAGAAAAGGCTCAGGGCATCATGGGATAGCTCTCCAAAGGGGCAGTGCACTCAGAAGTGGCTGTCCCTGCACTTTGGATCATATTTGGAGACACAGTGGTACAGATGGGTCCTGGTCTTTTCTTCTGCCCTCTGTGGCTTCCTATTTTTCTGGTCAGATCTCAAGCTTTAAAGTCACATGGATCTTAGTTCAGAGCCTGACTCTGCCCCTCCTTATGTAGTCTTGGGTAGATGACTTCATTTCCACCCAATCTCCATTTCTTCATCTTTAAAATGCACATGGTAACACCAGTCTTGCTCATAGACCTGGAACACAGATCTCGATTCTCAGAGCCAGCAGGATGCCTACAACTAATAAATATGATGTTCTTGAGAAGAGCACTGGGGCAGAGCCTCCAGTGCCTAGCCAGGGGAGTCCTAGAGCAAACCCAATCACTTTTTTCTGCCTCCTCTGTACCAAGGAGTGTCTCTGCAGTTTCTCCCGCCACAGGGCACTCTAGTCACGCTCAAGCCAGTACTGTTTCTGCTAAGACCGCTTTTGAGCTTTATGTCCATCTTTTGCTGATGGCAGCTATGTGCAGGTAGAGAACGTGATGGGCTGTGGTGGCGGTGTTTGTTTGCTTTTTTTCCTTTTTTGATTTTTGACAGGGTCTCACTATGTAGCCCAGGCTGGCCTTGAACTCAGTTTTCTTTGTGCAGGGATTATTAGCATGTGCTACTGTGATTGCTCTATAGCCAAAAGGAGGTTTGCTAGTTGCCTCCATGATTCCAGAAAAACATTAGAGTTATGGCTAGGACCTCGAAGGTCTTTGATTTATCTGGTGCTTAAGCATGGAGGATGGATGGTCAGTGCTTACAGGAACTGGTGGTGCCTCCCCCAGCTCCCAGCAGTACATGCAGTAGAAGAGTGGGAATGGGCACCCTGCCCTCAGTTGCCATTCTGATAGATCCCGTTGACTAAGACTATCATGGTGAGAGCCTAAGAAGTTCGTCTATGCCTGTGGCCAAAATTGAGACAACAGAAGTGGGAGTTGCCTTGTAGACCAAGAGAGGGCCCAGAGACTCAGTGGACACTCTTGTCAAGACTGACTTCTTCCTCAGGTGGACAGAGAGACCAATACCGACAGCGTGGCCCCATCCCCAACAGTGGTGCGGCCCAAGGACCGGCGGGTGGGTGCCCCTTCGCCAGGGCCGTTTCTTCGAGGGAGTACCATCATCCGCTCCAAGACCTTCTCACCTGGACCCCAGAGCCAGTACGTGTGCCGGGTAAGCAAATGATGGTGCCTTCCCCTCCCCTCAGAACAGCCAGGGGTCTACTCTAGCTCTGGGTACAAATAGGTGGCACTCTCACAGCGTGTCTTACTCTCCCAGATGCCTTGGGCATCTTCTGGTAGGTTTAACTCCATGGACCTCAGTTTCCCTATCCCACTCCATAGGATAGTTTTACTCTTGACTCGTTGATGTAAGAAAATCAGCTGGAGTGTGGGACTGAGTGGATGGCTTAGTGGGTAAGAACCCTTGCTTTGCAAGCACGAGGACTTGAGTTAGAATCCCCTAGTACCCATGTAAAAGCCAGACATGGCCATATCTCAACCTCAGCTTTAGGGCCCAGAAACATGTGGATCCTGGGACCTCGCTACCACCCAAGACCTTGTCTTGGCTAGGCATTGGCGGTGCATGCCTCTAATCCCAGCACTCAGGAGGCATAGGTAGGAGGATCTCTGTGAGTGCGAGGCCAGCCTGGTCTACAGAGCAAGTTCCAGGACAACCTCCAAAGCAATACAGAGAAACCCTGTCTCAAAAAACCAAAAAAAAAAAAAAAAAAAAAAAAAAAAAAAAGACAAGAAAAGACTTTGTAAAGGGCATAAAGCATAGGGTGATAAAGAAAGATACCATGTATAATCCTCTAGCCTCCATGGGCACACACATAGAAAATAAGCTTTTTTAAAGAAAAAAGAATATTCCGCGAAACAATAGAGTTGCAGCCAAAACGAAGATGGTGACTTCACTTTTAATTTAAATGTCACAGCCCAGCACAGTTGTGATCTCAGCATCTGGATGGCTAGGCCAGGAGGACCCGGAGTTTGAGAGTTCAAGGTCAGCCTGGGCTTGTATAAAAACAAACATTGGAAGCAACATTACGTGCCAAGATGTCTGCAGGATTTACTTCACTTTGGTTGTTCAATATTCTTCCCTTTTCTTTAGCACAGATTTTTAAAATGTAATTATTTAACAAACAAAGGGTCCTAGGAGGATGGTTTTTCATTTTTTGATTGTTTTGTTTTGTTTTGCTTTTAATTAAATGTCTACGGGTATGTTGCCTGCATGTGTGTCTGGTGCCTCGAAAGGCCAGAAGAGGGTGTCAGATCTTCTGGAACTGGAGTTAGAGACAGTTGTGAGCTGTCTGGTGGGTGCTAGGAATTGAACCCAACTCCTACAAGAGCAGCCAATGCTCTTAACCATTGAGCAATTTCTCCAGCCCATGGAAGTTAAAATGCCAGGACATTAGAATCTAGGAAGCCAAGTCAGATAAGAGTGGTCAGAGGTTCAGCCAGGGTGATGGGTCCAGCCATGTTTAAAAGTGGAAAGCTGTTCTTTTCTTCTCAGAATGTTCTTTAACCAGCTGCTTCCTCTTCATTTAATGTTCTCCTCATGCAGACATTTAAGTCTCTGTGTATGCGGACACCACAGCAGGATGCTACTAGCAGCTTTGGTTTTGAATTGCATTGCAACATAACTGTTTTGTGGCTTTGTACCCCACAAAACATGACAGAAACCAAGTGCCTGGCTGTGACATCCCACACCTGTGAGAGTTGCAGGCCATGCTGGGTGTGGTGGCATGAGCCTGCAATCCCAGCTACTGGGAGGGAGAAGCAGAAGGATCAGAAATTCTAAGTCATCTTTGGCTATCTAGAAATTTCAAGGCCAGACTAGGCTACATAAAACCTCACCTCAAAAAAGAAATCAAGTGTTCCTATGGAGGGAAAATGTTTTAGGTAGATATAGAATGAGAAAGACATCTAAATGTGGTGGGACACACCATGGTGCCAGGGATCAGAAAAGCTGAAGCATGAGAATCCTGAGTTTAAGGCCAGCCTGGCATACAGAGCAAACCCTATCTCAGAAACCAGGAACTGGCTTGGTGGTGTCGCACACCTACCTATAATCTAAGCAATTAGAGGGCTGATAAGGCAGGAATATCAGGAATTCAAGACCAGACTGGGCTTCAAAACCTCACTACCACCCCTATCTCCATCCCTGCACTCCTCTACACACACACACACCCCAAAAAAGATAAGTAAGGAGATATCACTTAATGGCAGGCTGCTCACCTTGTAGCCTAGCACATACAAGGTCTTGGGTTTGATGCTCGGTATTTGGAGTGAAAAAAAAGAAAACTTTGGTAAACAGGCTTGTACTATACTCAACAGTACTATACTCCCTGTGAGCTCGATTCCTCATGGTTCACACCCTACCCTTCCTTCAGAATGGCCACTTGACACCTCAGAAGGAGTCTTCCCTGCCGAATGGCCAGTGAGCATCTCCCCTACCTTAAAACATTCTAATAGACCCCACAGACCTGGCCAGGTGCTTGGCCACAGGCTGTTATGATAGGTGATAGCTTGTTGCTTTTGAATTACTGAGACTGAACCTAGGCCTCACCCTACCTGAGCCCAATTCCATTCTTCAATTGAGCTGCTTGTTAACATTTTAGCTTTAAGAAATTAAAAAGTCTGACATTAAAAAATTAAAAAGATAAAGTCTGACATTAAATTTCAGTTCTTTGGTGGGGGTGGAAAGAGTAGAAGGAGGGATTCTTTGGGACCCCTAAGCTCTCTCTCTTTTATGTTTGCCAGCCTGTCTTGAGGTCCTCATACCTTTCCTGGTTATCCAACTCTTCAAACCCTGTCTCTGCCACCCCACTTTCCTTCATGCTACTGTGCATGGAGGTTCTGCTCACCTTCCAAGTCCCAGGGGTCATTCTGGTTGCTTGGGCTCTGGAACCAGCTGCTGCTCCCATCCAGCCATGAGGAAAGCACACCTAAGACCGGTGCATGCCTTCCCTGAGTCCTGGACTGAAGTGATGCTTGCTATACCTTCTCCTGTCCGAGCCTCACATACCCACTGAGTAATAAGAATCAGTTACAAAAAAACTATTAAGAAAACATTAAGCCAGGCAATGGTGTCACACCACACTCTGTCATTTAACCTAGCTAATGCTATGGAGGAGGAAGGGAATTTCTCAGGGTCCCAGGAGCCCAGCTCCAAGGCCTAAAGTTATGAGACTGAGTGGAGAGGCTAATCTTTTCATTACCTCAAGCTACACAAATTCAGTTCGCTGGGTACCTATCACTTTAGTTCCCCCCCCCAAAAAAAAAAAAACCTTCCCCGAAGCCCCTCCCAGTGAAAATGGAGGCCTTCTCTTCTGGGTTAAGTCTCAAGCTAATCATTCAATTGGATCAGCATCTGTGCGAGTAGTGCAGGCCGAGACCATAGGGGCTACAAAGCTTGTAGGAAATGTGGGATTTCCTGAAGTCACCAGACACTGATGTGGGAGAGCCTTGCTTATGCTGAAGGATGCTACAGTTAAGTCAGCTCACAACTGTAGAGAGGAAAACCCATCCAGTGCTCGAAACAGGAGGGCACTGAAGGATTTAGAGAAGGCTTTAGGGTAACAGCTAAGACCTCGGCTTGTGCAGACCGACTACCTCATGAGCATACGATGAAAATCAAATACAGATAAATGGATGTCATTCATCAGAAGTCACGCCAAGGGAAATCGGTGGCTGGCTATACCAGGGGAAATTAATTCTTGGCTCATTGTTTTTCATCAGGATTAGAATATCGCTGTGATTTTGTTAAGATGGGAAACAAAAGGAAGCACATCAGAGAAGTGTTACTCATCATGCAACCAGCCCAGCAGTCATTTAGTAGCCAGTTCTCCTTTATTGAATGTGTATGTCTCTATGTGAATATATGCCACATGAGTGCAGATGTCTGCCGGAGCCAGGGAGGCTATTAGATCTCCAGGAGCTGGAGTTACAGGTGTGAACTGTGGCTGTGAGCTACCTGCTATGGGTGCTGGGAACCAAACCTCTACAAGAACAGCAAGTGTTCTTAACCACTGACCCCATTTGTCTAGCCCCAATAGCCATCTGTTATCAGACTGACTTTCATGTTATCAAAATGCTTATGTTCAGTAATCTTTATTTTACATGATAGTGTGGTCATGTAATTCCAGCATTAGGAGGTGGAGGCAGGAGATTCAAGCCCAGCTTCAGCAGCATAGAGGGTCCAGGGCCAACCTGGGCTACATGAAACCCTGTCTCCAAAAATAAAAACAAACAAAAAGTGAAGTTCAAGAATGGATGTAGTTTTTCCTGCTCTCTAATAACACAAAAATATTTGGTCTCAAGGATCAATTGTCCTGATAACTTTTGGGGGGGAGCTAAATGAAAGGAAGCTACCTTTAATTAAAACAATGAAATATGAGGCCATCTTCTGGTCCCTCGTGCAACCAGTAGGTTCCTCTACGTTAATTTCGCAGTGCTATGCATAGCCTGGGCCTGTGGCAACACACTGGCCTTGAAGTCTCCATTTGGTGATCTCTGCTGTGAAACCCTCTTTGTCTCTCTGGAACGTTTGTCTGTTTGTTTTTGTTTTTGTTTTTCGAGACAAGGTTTCTCTGTGTAGCTTTGTAGACCAGGTTGTCCTCGAAGTCACAGAGATCTGCCTGCCTCTGCCTCCCTAGTGCTGGGATTAAAAGCATGTGCCATCAATTCCCAACTGGAATGCTTGTCTGAATGAAACTATAACTAAGGAAGGCACCAAGTACCGAGTTAGGGCCTCCACCCACATGGTCACCGCTTGCATCAATATTACCCTGTTTCTTGTTATGGTTCAGACTCTGCCTGGCACAGGACTGTTACTGTCATTATCTTTAATAATGATGAATAGTCATGAAAATAATGATACTAGTAGCTTCTCAGTAGAGTCCCAGAGCAGTGAAATGACAGCTGCCAGGGCTGTGCCGTGGGTGTGGCCCATGCCAACCCTGCCCCTTTTGGAAATAAGACTCAATCAAGCAGTCACCCTGACCTCACCTGATGGGGAAAGGCTGTCACAGATGAGAATGCAGGACTCTGGGGAAACATGAAAAATGAGCCAATGGTGGGATTTAAATGTGGAAAATGGCTGAGCTCAACTATTGGAGAGTCTGTATGTTCCTTCTCTGTAAAGATGTGGCTCCTTGGCCCTGGGGCAGCCTCTTTCTCCTCCTGCATCTCTCTGCTTGCAGTACTGGAGACCTGGCATGTGTTAATTTTGTGCTATACCACGGAGCTGCATCTCTGCTCCAAGTACCTCTCTCATAGGTGGTTCTGTTGGAGTCACTGAAGGTGAACTCTCTGGATGACAGGGACAAGTGGCTGTAAGCATCCCTTTACATGGTAGGACAGAGGGACAGTATATCCTACAGTGGCACTCTTGTCATCAAACCCTGCCGAGCAGCTCCTCAACAACTTTGGGCATGTTCTATGACATGTGAACTTCTGTGCTCTGTGTGTTACATGGGGACAGTGTTTACATGGTGCTGTGAGGATGCAGTGAGGTGCCCCCATCTCATTTAGCGCCAAGTGGAGACAACTGTGAGATAGAACAGGACACACCCTGCCTAGGGCATGTTTGTTGGATGGTCATTTTACAAGGGCGGGAAGTTCAGAGCAATGCCTGGAATAGGAAGCTCAATGTCTGGATCCAGTTCAGGAAGGTGATCTCCTTCCTGGGCCTGCTGAACCTGCCAGGGCACACTTATTACCATGCCTGGCTTGGTTTCTCTCTTGCAGCTGAATCGAAGCGACAGTGATAGTTCCACTCTGTCTAAGAAGCCACCTTTTGTTCGGAACTCCCTGGAGCGTCGAAGTGTCCGGATGAAACGGGTAAGATTCACCTGGGAGCTCTTGTGTGCCTGCTGCACTTCATTTCTAGAAGGCCTGTGTGTGGATAGCCAAGGGCTGGCACGTCAGGGGAAAGGGAGAGGGAGTGGGACAGGCTGGGCAGAATGGGTCTGCGGGTAAAGGTGCTTGCTGCATGACCCTGATGACTGAGTTCGAAGTTTAAGGACAGAACCAACACCAAAGTGTCCTTTTATCTCTACATGTGCATACATGCATTCTCAGTGTGCATACACATGCACAATGGTAGCTAGGTAGACACGTATTCACTCTGAGGAATATTCTAGAACTTCTGCATTCAACTATTTTATGCTTGTCGGGAGCTGGGGAAATGACTCAGTGGGTAAGAGCACTTGTTTTACAAACATGAGGACTCAGTTTGAATCCTCATGTAAAAAACCAGGCATGGCTGTGTTTGCCTATAACCCCAGCATGGGAGTAGGGGGAGAGAAATGGGTGGTTCCTGAGAGGTCACTAACCAGGCCTAACCAAAATGGCAAGTCCTGGTTCAGTACCCTGTCTCAAGGCAATAAGAATAGGGGAAGACAGCTGGGCAGTGGTGGAGCACACCTTTAATCCCAGCACTCGGGAAGCAGAGGCAGGTGGATCTTTGTGAGTTCGAGGCCAGTCAGGGCTACACAGGGAAACCCTGTCTCGAAAATTTTTTAAAAAAGGAAGGAAGAGAGAGAGAGAGAGAGAGAGAGAGAGAGAGAGAGAGAGAGAGGGAGGGAGAGAGGGTGGGAGAGAGAGAACATCCTGCTCTGGCCTCTTACTAAACACTGTAGCTGGTGACCAACCCTTTAGCATATGGGCTTTTTAAAGCCCCAGCCATAACTCCAGCAATCAGAGAGAGGGTTCTTGCCTAGTGTGTTCAAAGGCTAGCACTACAAAACAAAGCAAACTTAAACAATAATACAACTAGAATGTCCACAGGCTATGAGACTGTCTTCAGGTATGGAGTGATCCAAGAACTCAAATAATTCCAGCAGGCCTCTTTTGCCCCTCCTCTTGACTCTACTCCTGCCAGACAGCTGAATGAAACAGGGCCAGGCTACTGCAGGCACACAGTCAAGGAAATGCACAGTACAATGTGCATTGAAAGCAGAACCTGAGGACAGGGTAGCAGCAGACACCATTCACAAAGTACAAATGCCAAAAGCACTGTGCTGGAATTCCAGCTTTCCAACTTGGGCTCCACCCACTTTAACCTAAAACCTCAGATAGTAGTAATAGCTGGGCCCTTGGAGGGCTACTGTGAAACAGGGTAACTGGAGTAGAGTACCTTTTACATCGGACACATGCTGTATGACTTTGAACATATGTTCTGTAAGAGGGGGTTGCCTACACAAAAAGGATGGCAGGTCTTGGGGTTCAGGGGATAAGGATCTGTGGGATTTCTGGACTGAGACCTCTAATGGGTGTGGGCATCTTCTCCATCCCCACAGCCTTCATCCGTCAAGTCCCTGCGCACAGAGCGCCTGATCCGCACCTCGCTGGACCTGGAACTAGACCTACAGGCAACGAGGACTTGGCACAGCCAGCTGACTCAGGAGATCTCAGTGCTGAAGGAACTGAAGGAGCATTTGGAGCAAGCCAAGAACCATGGGGAGAAGGAGCTGCCACAGTGGCTTCGTGAAGATGAGCGCTTCCGCCTGCTGCTGAGGATGCTGGAGAAGAGAGTAAGTACTACTGCCTTTAAACAACCCTGTGATTCCGTTGCAGGTCCCCTGAGGGTGGTCAGGGACCCAGGAGGCCCTTGACTTGGCTCTGCAGGTGTTATCATTGATGTTTTTGTGTGAGTGATTATGATTCAGTGTCACTCACCATTAATCCTTCATGGAATGTACCAAGTACCTCACCCAGGTGGGCTGTGCACTTAACAGAAAGCTGAAGCAGGAAGAATTACCAGGAGTTCAACACCTGCCTAGACCATATAGTCTAGACTAAGCTAGAATGAAACACTGTTTCCAGTACAAACAAAACAATCTGGGTCTTTTTCCTAGTCTGTAAAATTGAAGCAACTGTAAAATCTCCCCTTCCAGGCTCCTGAGGAGTAGGTAAGTGTTAGGATAAATCTTTCCACCAAAAGCCGCTGAGCCCCACTGCCACATA